GCAACAACCACTCCTCGGCCGAGGTCTGTGTGTGGAGAAGACCATGACGGACGAGGCCCTCCATGCGCTGGAAGGTGATGTCGGAACGGCACCACGGGTCCATTGGAGGTGGGGTGGATGGATGCGGGCTCAACAGTGGCGGATATGCAGAGGCAGGAAACCTAAGCAATGGCAGCGGTGGCGTGGCTGCAGAGGCAAGGATGCAACGTATGGAACCCGGAGGCCTAACCCTTTGGTTTTATAGGGGCAACGGGTGCGAGGAAACCAACCGCTCGCCTAGATCTCCGCACCTACCACGACCTATCACCACGTCTCACCGTGGGGCGTGCGCACGCAACCTATGGCCGTCCCCTTGAAAAACTCGCCGAACATTTCGCCTCCCCGAATGGGCCACGACCCATCACAGGTAATAGGGATACGGAGCTGAAAACACTCCTACGGCCTGTCTAGGCCTAGGAGTTCGAAGGTTGGCCCACCGATGGGTTCGACAACCGCTTCGTGCACCTTTAGAGTGAGGGGTGGAAAGGGATAGGCCCACTCGCGGCCGGTACCCTGGCGCATGAGCGCCACGGGCATCACGGCCCACATTCGAGTCTCGACTGGATACGATCCATGGTTTTTCCTCGAAGAAAGGCAGAGAGCCCTCTGGACCGGTCGAACGGATCTAAGAACTATATGGATTGACCGCTGAGAATCTAGAGTCAGTCACCAGCTGACCCAAGATGGATACCCATGAACAGGATGTCAGGGCCCCACTCGGACCAACCCGTTAATAGGTCACCGAGCACCATGATTCGTCCATAGAGGAAAATCATGGCACGGCTCAGCCCCTCCGTTTTTATCAGAAAAATCGCTTGAGGGAAGACGATCACAAAGACGAGCCGACCCTCAACCGAACCCCTGCTACGGGCAAGGGCTCAAGAAAAGTTGGACTCGCACGGAGACTGAACGCACGGTCGCAGAACGATAGACCCCCGTAGGCCAAGGCCCTTAGAGTCCTCCTGTTCATAAAAGCCTCCGAAGGAGCATTCTACTCCTCAATAGGCTCGGGGGCTACTGTCGGAGACCAATACTAGGGTACCCGAAGAGGAGGAGCTAATGACCATCAAAATTGATTCATCCGAGTAGTCAAGAGCACGACTACAGCTCCAACCGACCTCCAGGAGTGCAAGCTCCGCCATGCCCAACCTCTGGGGGCGGGCTCCAACTCGCCCGACCCTTGGGTCCGTGATCCGCCTCGCCCAACCCTGAGGTCACGGGCTCTGCCTCGCACGACCTCAAGGCCACGGGCTCTGCCTCTCCCGACCCTTGGGTTTACGCTCCACCTCGCCCGACCTCCGGGGGCGGGCTCCGCCTCACCTGACCCTTGGGTTCATGCTCCGCCTCGCCCAACCCTGAGGTTGCGGGCTCTGTCTCGCCCGATGGAGACCCATACCGCCACCAACCACTCCAGGTCCAAGCGTATGGGCCTGGGTCAAAACTCTGACACCAAGGAAGAGACCGGCATGCCCCGATGTAACCCGTGGCCACGACATGCCATACTTAAGGATTCACATCAGGAACAACGTCAGGCGTATCGGTGCTGTTCTGCCTAACCCTTGTATGGACACTGACAGGCGCGTCATCTCACTATGATGTCTGCTGCGACAGAATGGAACGCCATGACCGGCAGACGATGCCTGCGCATGGCGCCAGTGACGGACAGGGCCGCGACATGGAGCTGTCCCTGTTGAAATCTACAGGGTCTGCGGGACCCGCATGAAGGATAAGAAGGATCTGACGATCCTGAAGGACTCCTTCTCTCTCGTTCTTCTCTTTTCCTCCGCTGTAACCCATGCTTTCTCTTCCTATAAAAGGGAAAGCAGGGTGTCCTATGAAGGGGAGCCCGATCTGACCTCGAACCGATCAGATCCAGATACACACAAGAGCAGCAACCGAGCTCTCAGCACCCTTTCACTCCTTTCACTAGAGACTTGGGACATGTCTCTCTCTCACCTATTTGTAACCCCTACTATAAACTTTTAGTGCTAGTAACACGAGCAGCAGCGATGAACTGGACGTAGAGACTTTCTGTCAGAACCAATATAAACCTCGTGTCCTCTAAGCACACCATCCGAGCCAGACGCGCAATACTAGAAATTTACTCGTCGGTGGTAACTCGAAACACCGACAGATACAATAGACCATAAATGATGTCATGTAGCATGGCGCTGATGGCAACGTTGCCATGGATGATAGGATCGGAAGAATTGACGTTGGAGACTTGAGGTATCACTGATTGAAGAGAAGAGGGTTTGTCAAACCCTAAGAGCACACCTAGAAAAATAAAAGGTAGGGCTATTTTTTAGGAATATGGAGATATTGTGCATATCCTTGCTAATCAGACCTAGTAATTCAAAGGACATAATAGATCATACATGATGTCACGTAGCTTGGTGTTGGTGGAAGCTTTGTTGCTAGTGATGATAGGATCAGAAGAAGTGATTCTGGGGATGTGAGGGATCACTGATTGAAGAGGGTTGTCAAACCTTAAGAGGCTAAGTGTACACCTAGAAAATGAAAGTAGAGCTATTTGGTGCAATATTGTTTGTGCTGCCCTTGCATCCGGCTTAGAAATCAACCCAATTTAAGTAACAACAAGCTTAACCTAGTCATTAGATTAAGCTGATGGCCGGGTTCCTATTCCACGCTTAAGGCATGACGGAGTCTGCATATTTATATGAGGTGGGGTTTTTTAAAGACAATCTAAGTGAAATTTCAACACATTTCTCTGCCAGTTTAATTTTTTTTTGTGCTGAACTAGTCAATACTTGCGGCAACATTTTTCTCCCTCTCCTTGGCCACCGCTGTTGTGCCGGCTTGCCACAAGGATCCCATTAAGCCGGTTGAACTCCAATAGTCCAATGTACCATGATACCAAACTCAGTTCTCAATCACGATTCCTTATCACGCCCTGAGTTAGAGAAGATAATACATGTGAAAAGATCAAATATATAGGAATGCACAGAAAATCGAGCAAATCAGCCAAAGAATGAGAAAATAGGGACTCCAAGTGTCTTGAAACACTCATGGACTAGGTAGCTTTGTTGCCGCGAAAATTTGGATCCACGCGACACCACGATCTAGCCAAATTACACCATCAATAAGCTTTTTCCCGGTCGAATGCAAGAGTTAATTAGTACACCTGGGGTTTACATTTACCCCGTTCCAAATCACAGCCTAGCTTGTGAACCGTTTACATTTACTCATAATGTGCTCTTGAATTCCTAGAGTCCGAATTCAGGACTCCCATGTTTCTTGAGAAAACTGGTATCAGCACCCATGCTATTCCTGGGCTACGTGCCGAGCCAGCAGGCAGCCGTGTTGCCTCTCACTGTTCATCTCATGCATGGGCTGCTGGCAATGGCAGGCGCGGGGGCCGCCCGCCGGGAGGCACGGGCGCAGGGCTCACGTACACGGTACACCAACCGCACGCCGCTCCGGACTCCGGAGCCCCGGCCCGGCTGGCGAGAACGCTGCACGGCGCGGGGCGCCGCCTGCCGCTGCGATTCACGAGTCTGCCGTCGTACGCTGCCGCGCTGTTACCCGATGCGGTCTGCGGCTACAACCGGTACGGCGCTACGACCGTCGCCTGCTCCGAGTCCGAGCTCTCACGTCGCCCATCATTTCAGCCGTCTCCTCAGCTCCCCAACATCCGCACACCCTGGCCGCCAAGTCGCCGGCCAGACCTGCAGGCTGCAGCCGTGGCCTGTGGGCAGGCATGCATGCTGTGGCAATGTGGCAAAGCAAAGGCCACATGCACAGCGCCAAGAAAGAAAGGGCTTCGTCATTCGCCAATGGCTTCATCATCAGTCTGCTCTGCTCTGCTCTGCTCTGCTCTGCTCCGTAGAAACCATGGTGAAAAACTCCTGTTCACGCACATGGCGCCACGTCGGCGCGGCCGGCCGTCCATAGGCTAGCTGGGGCTGTTTTGTTTGAGGGAAAGCTAGCTGTGGCTGTGAATGAGCGCATGTGTGGTTTGGGCCTTTCGGGGTACGGGAAGGGACAAGATTTCCAAGGAGAGCTAGCCATGGACCCATGGTTGGTGCCTTGGTGGACCGCCGTGTTTTGTTGGTTGCTGCACTGCACTCACACGCACAACTACTCCCTCTTAAAAAAAAAAATCTTCATTACTACCTCAATTTTTACGAAAGTCTAACTTTTCTCCTGTGAACTTAAAAACCGAGTATACCACCTCCTAAACTTTTAAAACTGTTTATTTTACCTACCTGACTAGTTATAAGTGGTTTTCAAATACGGTTTTATCTTTTTCTTTTTTATCGATTTCGATTGAATCTTTGAAAAATCATAATAAATCACAGAAAAATCATAAAATAGAAAATCCAAATTTTTTGGACTCCACATGGGTAGATCTACACAGAGAACATATAATATGGTATGCTTTAGAACAAATTTTTTGCTGTAGCTTTAGATCTATGCTTTTCTATAATTAATTCATAGCTGCAGTTTCTTTGGTTTAATTGTGGTAAAATTTTTATAGTGGGCTAATTGTTGTATGCTTGAACTGTAGTAAAAATTTAGGGTTTTTACCTGTGTACCATTAAAAAAGATAGCCCTTTCCTACATGCCACTGAAAAGTTCAGGCGTAACCAGGTGCCATGACACTTGTTTTTTGCCTCCTAAGCCATTCCGTCCACCTTCTGTTCGATCTTCACCGTTTGACAGCCCTGACATGTGGACCCAGTCGGTGACAATGTCCAAATCCTATCCCCTCTCTGTTCGGTGGGGCCAAGCTGTCAGCGACCCAGCACCTTCTTCCTCCTCAAGATGAGCAGCGTGAGCTGAGGGTCTGGGCAGCGAGATCTTCATGGTCGGGGCGGAGGTCGCCCGCACACGCGCCCGCCGGACCTGCACCGTCGAGCCCACCGGAGATCCGCCTTCTTCCTCTTCCTGCTGCTCGCGACATGGCGGCCCTTGGTGGCAGCGTCCCACTCGAGGCGCTAGACGTCGTCGATGCTGAGGCGCTCGACGCCGAGCCGGCGTAGGGAGGCATCGACGGCGGGCTTGCGGACAGAGGTGTACACCTGTGCGTACTCGCGGCCGTACCCAGCGGCGGCCATGTGGGACGCGATGGCGCGGAGGTCCGCGACGGCATCATCGGGCAGCAGGTCGATCTCGCGGATGCTCCGGAGCGAGCGGTAGGCGGTGCTGCGGCGGTCGATAGAGGACACGGAGTCGTCCTCATTGGAGACGGCGGCAGGGAGGTCGGCGGAGGAGGCGGAGTTGGAGCGGTCGCTGTTGATGGAGAGCGAGCTGAGGTCGGCGAGCGCCTCGATCTCGAGGTCGAGAGTGCGCGACGACAGCATGTGGCGGAACTAGTCCTCGAGCCGCGCCATGGCGACCTGCACGGCGCCACTCCCCGCCGCCGAGGACGTCGAGGACGACGAGAGGCGCACGGGCTCCCGACGGCCGCGGGCGACGGCGGCGTGAGCCGGCGTAGGTCATCGACGGCGTGGAGGAACCGGTCGGCCTCGGCCCGGTCCCCGCCGCCGTTGAACAACATTGGCTTGTCCGCACCGCCTCCCGCCGAGGCTGAGTCCTACCGCATGGCTGAAGGTTGAAGAAGATCTCTTTACAGTTTAGCCCTACCCATTCTATCTTATAAATTCGTTGTATAATGTGTCTTGTGAATCTTTCCGATAGCCCCCTGTTAAACTTTACACATCTCGTTTGGTCAGCGAGGTGAGGGCATTTGGGACTTTTTTCAATGCAGGTTGACACCATTAGATGGAAAAGTGGACGGAATGGCTTGGGAGGGAAAAAATAAAGTGTCATGGTACCTAGGTGCGCCTGAACTTTTTAGTGGTATGTAGAAAAGAGTCATCTTTTTAATGGTACACAGGTAAAACTCTGTAAAAATTTCGTACTCATTGGATCATGTATAACTTAGTTATAGATTTATTATTTAGGTGTATGCTTGGTTAAAAAGTATTTAGGTGTATGCTTGGTTAAAAAGTATTTATAAATCTATAACTAAGTTATACATGATCCAATGAGAATAAAATTTTTACTACAATTCAATCGTACAATAATTAGTTTATCATAATTTTTTTGCCACAATTGTACCATACAACTGCAGCTATAAATTAATTACATAAAAGCATAGATCTAAAGCTACAGAAAAAAATTGTACTAAAGCATATCGTATTATATGTTCACTGTGTAGATCTACTCATGTGGAGTCCAACAAAATTAGTTTTTTTCCATTTTATGATTTTTTTGTGATTTACTATGATTTTTCAAAGATTCAGCCAAAATAGATAAAAAAGATAAAGATAAAAACGCCTTTGAAAAACGCCTTTTAAAAGTTTATGGAGGTGCTTTACCTGATTTTAGAGTTCAGGGAGGAAAGACTTTCGCAAAAGTTAAGGAAGGTAATGAGAACTTTTTCCAAAAAAAAGAGAGACTATAAGATTTGTACACGTTAAAGTAGCTTAACTTTGGCTAAATTTTCTCAAAAAGGCTTTAACTAAATTTGTAGTGACTATAAAAATATATTTTATAACTAATTTAATAATACTTATTGTGTGTCATAAATATTAGTAATATTTATATAACTTTAATCAAATTTTAAGTTGTTTGATCTCTCGAAAAAATAAGAATTGTATTTTTTATGGATGAAGAGAGTACGAGATGGGAATTGGAGGGAGAAGCTTTAGTACTCCATCTATGGCTAGATGTAGGATTGGTTGCCGAAAGCGTGGTAGCTCGGTTGGTACCTGGAGCACTCCCTCCCTTTTGCATGCTATCTTTACCATTCATTTTAAAAAAAAATGATACGAAGCTCTCTTTCAATTAAAGTAGAAGAGAAAAAAAAAAGAGTTCAATCGTGGCAGCTGCACAGATGCTCAAAGGCCGCCGTAGCATGGGAAACAATAGCTCCCTGGATTTCGAACCGTAGCTCTTTTAAGTTTTGATATAAGTCAATTTTTCTGATCTTGATCAAGTTTATGGCAATGGCTTAGGCTAGAATCATTGAAGACATGTAAGCATTAACTGTTAATGTTGAATATCTACAACTAATTAAAATTACTTATATTAATTTGCACAATTTTATTCCTTCATTTTCAAACAAAATAGGTATATAGACACTATATAATATCCTTCCACTTTTGCTAAACTTATCAATACAATGATCGATACTCCCGTCCGCTCCAAAAAGAGAAAGTTGTCCTATGTTTGGAGTAACTCAAACTTTCTTGAGTTTAACTAAATTTATTGAAAATATTATCAATATTTGTATCTCAAATAGGTTTGTTATTTGAGATACAAATCTATTTGAGATATAAATATTAATAATATTTTGAAACTTTCATTATTTATCTAATGGTACTTATTACATAATACAATATTAATATTTTTTATATATTTTGTCAGAGCTGAAACTGATTGACTACATATAAAGTGAGAATGCCATTCTTTTTTTTTTCTTACAAAGAGAGTATTTGCTTTCCATTCCTATCAACAGTTGCTCCCCTTTGCATGATACTATGACAGAACCGCCTGATCTAATGCCCTCTACAGAGTACTTGGTCTTCCATTAGACCCTAAGTACCTAAGAGAGTGCACTAAACCACGCTGTTCCGTCGAGCACACCCAAAGGGAGAACTCGAAAATCCATATTTTTCGTTAGGATCATAAATGAGAGGATAAAGCTTACAACATTCTTAGCCATTTCTTTACATTACTTTATTACAACATCAGAATGATAAACAAGATAATTACTACAGTGGAATAAAAGATGTGATTAGAGTTTCAGCGGAAATTAAGTTTACTTGTAATCTATTGAACATTAAGCATGAGACATAATTATATACATGTGAGGATAGCAAATCATAAGCTTTTCTTTCCAAAACTTTATTCGTGAAGGTTATAATTAAAACTCTATGTCCGCAACGTAAGGAAACCCTCGCTGAGCCCACCAGAAGGTTTCCACACACAAAGTCAGCTCTACCAGCATCCATCTGTCACCTGTAACAGGGAGAATAAAACCCTGAGTACTCGATTGGACTCAGCAAGACTTATCCGATAGGAGAAAAATAAAAGACTCCAAGGATATGCAAGGCTTATTTTGGCTTGCTGGTTAATTGCATTTGCATGAAGCATTACTAATAGTGCATCCTTATGTTCAGAGTTTTTAGCAGTTATTTTTAGTTAATTAGCAAATCATTCTAGGTAAGCACCTATGCTACTTTCAAGCATGTGGTAAGCAATCAGAACTATTTTATCACCTTCCATGTTCCAGTTCTTACTACGGTGCTAGACCATAGCCAAGTCGTATCATCTCAAAAGAAATGGCGATTCACGAATCAATGTATCCCAGCTAGGTACCCCGAAACACATGCCTCGCTTGTACCCCAAGCATAAACAAGACCAATCCGTTCCACTCGTGTCAAGGGGACTAGGTCCTCTTTCAAACTTGGACTCCAAGCCTCCAACACTTGAGACCCGGTCTCAGTATGATGGTTAGACCTCCACCTAATATCCACCCCTAAAAGTCGGTCCGAAAAGAGCCGGAACCCATGACAAGAGAGCAACAAGTCTTCCCGCTCCCATAAGCAAGTATGTGTTCAGGATAATAAGTCTGTGACCTGACTACCATCCATAGCAATGGACGGTCCTCAATCGACATAGGAAGGACAAATACAACTGGAGCCTCGCTCGGTTGCCTAACCAAGTGTTGACACAAAATGTGACGCACTGTGCCTCACACACAGCAAGCCGGAAAGCGTGGCTTCAATCGGGTGCCCGGGTGCTTCGTGATCCGGAAACGTGCCAGTCAGTTTGACCTGAAAAAAACTAACAAGGGATAAAACAATTAAATGTCAAACCGGAACATGTCGGGTGAGACCAGACAGTTCCATATATACGGCCCTGAAGCCACTTACAACGACATACAGCTATAGGAAGCTGTCTGCCAACAAGTTTATAAACCATTCGGCTAATCGTAAGATGAACACACGTAAAGATCCGATTGCCGAATGCATGTGCATGGGAAGACATGTTTGAACAAGTGAAATTAATTATGCATTAATGCATAACCAAGCTCAGCAGTCCAGCCGAGTTGGGGTCCATGAAGAAGGAACGTGCAAATAAACACGATTAAGCTAATCTAAAACCTGCATCTGCCGCACGACACCTAGTTTCGTCAAAGCTTAAACGTAATTAACATGCATGAACCCACAACATGTGACAATCTAGATTAAAATAATTCAGCCATTATGAGCATGTTATCTATTTGCAAAGGTAATATGAAAGTAATGATCATTGAAGCACGAATAAAACCGTAGGAGAGGGCCGAATAATATCAATCTAGATTGGGCAGAAGTGTGTTACAAATATATAAAATATTTAAAACATGCAACACAGGATAACGTAATGAATCTATTTAGATTCTGCCGTATCTAATAGAGCCGATAACTGTCTTGCTTTCACTAAGCATATTGAGCAAACGCCTGCCGCACGGTATCTACTCATAAACAAAGCATAAGCAAAGACTTCTTGATTGTCAAGCAAAGATCCACCGCACGATCATTGAAAACAAACAAGACTACTTGCATCACGTCTAAATCCACCGCATGATACTAAACATGATAACAAGGTTGTCGAAACTCACGGAGGTCGACGGATCGATGACTCCTCTCGAAAAACTCGACGACACGACAAAAGGACTCGAAAGTAGGCACGGGGCCGGTTGTATTGATTTGGTTGTGAACGCCTATTACAATGGTCGAGGGTCAATATTTATACCCTAGACAAAACACGAGTCCTAAAAGACTACGATTTACAAAGGAACTCTTAAACAAACTTGGAAACTACGATTCCTTGCCCTAAACTCTCAGAGTCCTTTATTTTTACAACTTTCATCTTTTCGATCGGCTTTGCTTGCCATCTTCTGCTTTCCCGAATGGAGTCACCACCTTCTGAAGTAACCGACCGCACAAGCATTTAGCCGACCGCTTGTTTTGTTTGCCGAATGTCCTTCTTCCCACATGCGGGCCCACCTGTCATCTTCCAAAGTCGACCAAAATCCAGTGTTAACACATGCCCCCTCAATTTCGGGATAAAAGTTGTTTTATTCTGAAATTGACCACAAGCTCCTTCTTCCTCCTAGGTCAGCACTGCTCAACACCGCATTATTGTCCAAAAATTCAAGCTTTTCAGCGTAACCTCGGACCCACTTTGAATCTTCAATGGCGACCTGGATGAAATTCCAGAGGTAAACTTCACTTATATACGCAATTTCTACTTGATCTTCCCGTTCTTCTTTTGGCTTATTCCTCTTTGATTCTTTTCGGTAAATTTC